GGGGGATGGGGGTGCCCTGGGCCCCGAGTCTGAGACCCCAGCTTGCTTCCAGGATTGTCCCTATTGCTTTCTAGTTCCAGGTTCTGAGTCAACTTTTTCCTCCCCCCTGGGCGACCGTGGGTCCACCTTGGCCACCGTCCAGCTCGTGCCCCTGAGCATGTGGTTCTTCTGGGCTTCAGTCTCTGCACCTGTGGCTGGGGGAGGGGGGCGACCATTCCCGACTGACCGACCGACTTGACAAGGTGGCTGAGCTCCCGCTAGGTCACATATGAGGAGCTCCAGCACGGCAGCTGGCCCTGAAGGGGGTGCCCGGCGAGGGCTGGCTCCTCTTGGCTCCAAAGCCCCTGGAACGCAGCACGGGCCCTCAGCGACCCGCCTCCTCCCTCCACGGAGAAGACGAACAGGCTTCCGCGGAGACTGTTCAGCACGACCTGACCTGAGCTCCCTTCCCCACCCCCCACGCTCAGCCTGGGCCCCCGACACTCTCCTGCCTTGTGGAGTCTGAGCCTTCAGCCTGGAAAGGGGAGGCGATCCTCCACCCCGGGCAGAGTGGGGGCCATCCGTGAACTCCGCTTCCCACACAAAGAGGGCGTGGAGGGGATGGTCCAGGTCTTCGGGACTGCCCACCCTGCCCTGATGCGTCTAACCACCAGGAATGTGCCTGCTCCGTCCCCTTGCCTGCTTCCTGTGACAGGAAACTCATGGCCCATCAGAGGGCGCTAGACTGGCTGGGAAGCTTTCTTCCCGATCCCGTGCTCCTCCTCAGAGATATGGAGGTTTATCTCACACCTGAGTCCTCTCTCCTGGCTGAATCAATGCCCTCCTCGCCTGCCTCTCTCCCCACCCTCTTTCCTGCCTGCTTTCCTCACCCTCTTTCTCTTTCTCCCTCTCCCCTCTTCTCTCCCCCTGTCCCTCCCTCCCACTTGGGCTGTCCACCACTCAGTCAGTCAACCAACACGTGCTGCTCACCAACTCTGCATCCGCGGCTGGTGGCATCACTGGTCCACACGGTCCCTGGACCACCTGTTGCAAATGCCCCCAGGGGCCCGTTACATTCACTGACTCTGGCTATCACGTCCTCCGCAATCCTGGTCTCCAGAATATTCCTGCAGCACCAACACCCCAGGCGCTCCTCACCTGGACGCGCGCCTCCGTCAGCTTGGTCCTCTGCGCCAGCTCCTCGCGGGTGTAGATATCGGGGTAGTGGGTCCTCTCGAAGGCCTTCTCCAGCTCCTCCAGCTGCTCGGCCGTGAACGTGGTGCGGCTGCGACGCTGCTTGCGCTTCAGCGGGAGGTCAGGTTCCGACTCCACGTCTGAGCCCTCGTCCAGCCGGTTCCCTGCAGCCGGAGGGGAGAGGGGGAGAAGGCAGGGGCTTGGTGAGATGGAGGGGTGCTGGGGTCTGGTGGGGAGCACTGAGGGTCAGATCCCTCCCAAGCACGAGGAAGAGGAAGGAGACTCGCTGCAGCATGGTTCTCAGAGGGAGGGGAGGAAAGCCATCTCCATGCCCAGCCCTAGGGGATGGGTTAAATACTCTCCCTTTAGAAACATAAACAATCCCCTCTAGCTGGGCACTTGGGTTATTTGACTGACAAGGGAGGGTGACGCGTGGAATACATTTGTCAAAATTGATAGAACTATAACCTCAGTTATAAGGGGAGAATTTTACTGTACATTGACCAGACCGCAATACATCTGACTTTAAGCAAAAGGCAAGGTCCAAGCCAGCGTGTGAAGGAAGAGTCCACTTTTGGGCAAAGTGTGTGTGGCACGTTATAGACCGCTGCTCCAAAAGCATAGCAAACGTGACCTCCAAGGCATCAGGATTTTGTCTTCTTTTTAATACTTGTTTTTGTTTTAGTATTTAAAAAATAATGATCATTACACAGCAATGTTATTGCATTTGGGAGAAATATTGCAAAAACCGAGAAAAGAAGGAAAGCAGGAAGAAAGGGCGGGGGCGGGAGCAAATGTGTGCATGGAGAGCTGGCAGCTAGGAGGCTCGGACTCCAGACCTGGCTCTGCTCCTAAATGCCTGTGATCCTTGGAAGGCTGCTTCCCCTCCTTGAGCCTCAGTTTCCCCGTGTGTAACATGAAGATTTTGCACTACATGACTTCCACTGACCAGCCCTTCCCAGGATGTCCCAGGATCTCTGAGTGACCTCCCAGGCTGGAGGAGGAGATTTTACCTGGATGACCTTGGCCAGAGCCAGGGCCAGGGTCAGGGCCCCCACTCCAATCATCCCCACTAATTTCCATCCTGGAGCTTGGGGGCGGGTGAAGGCCTTTTGCCCAGGAGGCTGGAGCCAGCTCGCCACTCAGCCCCAGCCCGGGCTGCCATGCCAGGAATCTGCTCCAACCCCACGTCCAGGCTGAGCAGGCTGCAGGAAGGGCTTGTTCAAGCTCCTCAGCTGTCGGGACTGAGACCCCCGGGGACTGAACAGATTCCTTGTCCCCATCAGTCCTGTGTCTCCTGCCCATTTCTGACCGAGCAGAGGGACACTAGCAGGGAGACCCCCCCAGCCCGGGCTCTGAAGCTATACCCTCAGCACCCCCCAGGCAACCGTGGGGAGTGTCGAAAAGAGGAAGCAGAAAGGAAGGGAGAGGGAAGAGAGGGCAGACACACATCCAGGAGCTGCCAGTCCTTCCTCCCCACCCGTGCTTCTTCCTTCCCTTTCACCTTCGTTTCTCTCTCCCCCTCTTTCCTTCTCCATCTTTGATATTCCCGGAAGCACTTCTATGTTTGTGCCATCCATTCAATTCCCAAAGCCTTTACTGAGCACCTGCTGGGTGCCGGAATGGGTTAGGCGTGTGGTGGGTAAGAGAGGGCCTGAGCCTCAGAGATCATGCGCTCACACGACAGATGGGAGAAACTGAGTCACAGGAAGGCAATGTGAAATGCACTCAGACTGCGCCCTCCCCCAATCTGTTTCACCAACACAGAGTCCCATGATTCCCCAACTGATTCCAGTGGTGGTTTCATGAATAGGCTCCTCCCACCAGGGACAAACCCCTCTCCCCCAATAAAATAAAAGCTCATGGGGCCTCTTTAGATGTCTAGTGGAGGGGAAGGGAAAGGTGTTGCAGACAAAAGGAAGAACGTGGGCAAAAGCCCCGTGTGTCAAAAGGCGCGATGGGTAATTTTATGGTAGGGCTGCATCCATAGCCAGGAGCCAGGGGGGTGGATGGGAAGGGTGGGAGGTCATGCACCAGGGAGGTCATCCAGCCTTGGGCAACACCTCTGCCCCTTTCCCTCCATCCTGCTCTCCTTCCATTGGGAAGTCGTCCCTGCTTTTTGTTGGCCACGACCCAGTTGTCCCCGATTGTGACACCACGTCACACATCAAGGGAACCAAGGGCAAAGGGATTTTCCCTTCATGGTTGCTGGCCTCACCCCCCTGGGTAGAGAGCTGGGGTCCGATCCAACCCCTCCTCTGCCCTTCCCGGTTAGGGCTGCCCACTGCCTGACCTCCCCCATCACTGAGTGGAAACCATGGTGGGCACAGTTGATATCCTGGGGCCCCCGCCCCAGCATGTCTGGGGCTCAGAGTCCAATGCAGCCAATCCCAAGGACGCCCCTCCTGAAACTCACTGCATAACCTTGATGGTGACAAGGAAAGGCAGCCCTTGGCCTCAGAAGGAGGAAGCGGACACTGGCAGGCAGGAAGGGTGGCCAACTCTCAGACCAGGAACGGGGTGTCAGACTTGGTCCCTCCAGGAAGGACCTTCAAGCTCAGACAGGAGTCAGTGGGGAAGGGGGAGGCAAGGTTGTGGGGAGTGAAATCTTTGGGCAGAGACTGTCCTCAGAGCTGTGAAGTCAGAGAGGGTGGCAGACACAGCCCTCATCCTTGCAGAAGCCCCATCCGATAGAGGAGACACAGTCCCATCCCAGGGGAAACCCCAAGCCAATGGAGTCTCAACTTACTTCTAGAGCAGTTCTGTCTGATAGAACCACCCATAATGTTGCAACGCCCTAGAATCACAAGGTTCAATATGGCAGCTCTGGTCACATGTGGTAGTGAGTGCTTGAAAACTGCCTTGTGCAGCTGAGAAACTTTGCGTTTTATTTTTAGAGACAGAGTCTTGCTCTCTCGCCCAGGCTGGAGTATAGTGGTGCAATCACAGCTCACGATAACCTGACTTCCTGGGCTCAAGCAATCCTTCCACCTCAGCCTCCCAAGTAGCAGAGACTATAGGCAGGCACCACCACACATGGCTAGAATTTTGTTTTTAATTGTATTTACTTTGCATTCAAATTTATATAGCTACATGGGGCTGGTGGCCACCACCTAGGCCAGCAAATTTCTAGATAGTCTTTTTTTTTTTTTGAGTCAGAGTCTCACTCTGTCATCCAGGCTGGAGTGTAGTGACATGATCACAGTTACTGCAGCCTCAACCTGCTGGACTGAGGTGATCCTTCCACCTCAGCCTTCCATGTAGCCAGAACTACAGGCACACGCCACCACACTTGGCCAATATTTTGGTTTATTGTAGAGATGAAGTCTCATCAAGCCCAGGCTGATCTGGCTCAGGTAGTCCTCCCACCTCAGCCTCCCAAAGTGCTGGGACTACGGGTGTGAACCACTGTACCAAACCCCGGACTGTTTTTAACAGCTCTTCTTCCTTCTTAATGAACAGAGGGCAGGCAGCAGCCCAGAGCACTGCTTGCTTTTATGGTTCCCATCTTTTTATTAGAGCATCAGTTTCCTTGCGTTAAGTTTTTAAAGGTGCTCTTGTATAAAGTATTAAGGAAGGTTGGGTGCAGTGGCTCAGCCTGTAATCCCAGCACTTTGGGAAGCCGAGGCAGGAAGACTGCCTGAGTCCACAGGTTTGAGACCAGCCTGGGCAACTTGGTGAGATCTCATCTCTACAATAAATCACAAAAAAACTAGCGGGACATGGTGGTGTGCATCTGTAGTTGCAGCTACTTGGAAGGCTGAGGTGGAAGGACCGCCTAAGTCCAGCAGGTGGAGGCTGCGGTGGCTGTGAGCGTGCCACTGCACTGCAGCCTGGGGGACAAGAATGAGACTCCAACTCAAAAAAAAAGTATTAAGGAAGTAACAGGACCAGCTATAGGGATGTGACACAAATCATGAACCCAGTCAGCAAACAGCCAATGTTGCCTCATCCCAGCTCAGAGATGACAAGTCAAGGAGCTTCTGCCAAGCCCCAGTGCCCCCTCATGCCCTATCTGGCCCCTCTGTCCTTCAGAGGACCCGCCGCTTTTTAGACCTGCCATGGAGTTCCAGGTCTAATTCCTCCCTGTCCCTCCCGCCTCTGACTAAGCAGGGATTTGGGGAACTCGGTGGGTCCAGAGAGATGCCCAGACCAGGGCCCAGATTCAAGAATGCAAAGCAGGGCCCACAGGTCTCTGTCATCCAGAGGGATCTGGAATGATCCTCTCAGAGGATGGGAGTTGCCATGACAACCTCTGGTCACTGAGTGGAGAGGACAGCCAGAGATCCAGAGAGGTCTCAGGAGGACAGGACTGCAGTCTGTTTGTGACTTCAGTCTGCTGGAAAAGAGCTTCCACCACCTCACTTTGGCCCAGCCCAGGGGAAGAGACCTGGGCTGGGCCTTCTCTGTGTCAGCCTTAGGACAGGGCTGTGAAGCTTGGACTATTGACCCTTTTACAAATAAGGAAAACAAGGCTCAGAGAGGGTCAGTCACTTGACGGAGGCCACACAGCCAGTAAGCCTGTGCTCCCTTCCCGGAGGGGGATGGGGAGGAAGGAGCAGATGGAGAGGGAGTGTTTGGAGGCCTCTGGGACAGCCTGGTTTATGGAGAGTCCTGGTCTGGGGGCCTGAGACCTTGATTCTGGGTTCTGTCTTTCCCTCACCGTGTGGCCTTGGACAAGTCACTTCTCTCCTTGGGACCTTGGTCTTCTCAGCTGTAAAAATGGTCCTAATAATACATCCTTAGCCGGACACAGTGACTCACACCCATAATCTCAGCATTTTGAGAGGCCAAGGCAGGAGGACTGCCTGAGTCCAGGAGTTAAAGACCAACCTGGGTAATTTGGAGAGACCTCGTCTTTACAGTAAATCAAAAAACTCAGCTGGGCATGGTGGCGTGCACCTATAGTCCCACCTATTTGGAAGGCTGAGGCAGAAGGGTCACCTGAGCCTAAGAGTGGGCGACAGAATGAGATGCCAACTCAAAATAATAATAATAATAATAATAAATCCTTGCACGCCTTACTAGGTGGCTTTGAGAACAGACTGAAATAAAAACCATGGGGACAATTTGGAACGTAAATGGCACATGAAGAATTTATTGTTGTTGATGATGACAGCGGTGATTAGAGATAAAGAAAGAGGGTGATGGGTATAGGGCCAAA